TCTTTTGTGCCAAAAACAAACCTTTTCTTTGTACCAAAAACAAAATTTTCCTTTATACTAAGAATGAAACCTTTCTTTATATCAAAAAATACAATAGTATATTAATAAATTTAAAGTTGAAACTATATACACTACCTGGAAGAAAGTATCCGGGCGCACCTTTTTGATAATTCCGCAAAATTTTACATAGCACAAAAAAAATTTTTTTACATCAATTTTTAGCCTAGGTTCTTACGATCATGTATATAAATTTTAATGTTTTTAGCATGTATATAAAATTCTCAGTTAAAAAAAAACCGAAATACAATTAAAATTGTAAATAATGATGATCAACAAAATTTGACGAAAAATTTATTTAAAAAAAAATTAAATTCAATATTTTGTAGCCTATCCTTTATTTGCAATGCATGCCCCAATTCTCCTTGGCATGCTTTCAATTAAATTAAGATATTTCTCTTGAGGAATTTTTGACCACTCTCTTTCAAAGCAATCTCTAATTCTGTTGGATTTTTAGGATGGCTATTTCTTTTTTCAATTGCCTTTCAAGTTCAGCCCAAAGATGTTCAATTGGGTTAAGGTCTGGTGATTGAGAAGACCAATCTGGTAGTACTTTAATTTTTTTTCGCATAATCCAATTTTTTACATCTTTGGCAGTATGGACAGGTGCATTGTCATCTTGAAATAAATAACACCTGCCATTAAATTGTTTTCCAATTGTTGGTAGTAAATCATTTTCTAAAATTTTTATATAGTCAAGGCGATTCATTTTACCTTCAACTTTAACCAATGGTCCCAATCCCTTTTCAGAAAAACATCACCATACCATTATTCCACCACCACCATGCTTAACAGAAGGAACCATATTTTCAACGTTATAACGTGTACCATCTGTACGCCAGACACGGTTTGGTCCATCATTTCTAAAAATCTTGAATCTTGATTCATTACTGTCTTCCACTTTGTAACTTTCCAAGCTCTTCTTTCTAAACACCATTTCAGTCGATTTTTCCTTTGTTTCTCTGTTAATAATGGTTTTATAGTCAAGGCGATTCATTTTACCTTCAACTTTAACCAATGGTCCTAATCCCTTTCCAGAAAAACATCCCCATACCATTATTCCACCACCACCATGCTTAACAGAAGGAACCATATTTTCAACGTTATAATGTGTACAGTCGAACCCTCATTTCAACAGACTTCGTTTCAACGGATTTTTGTTTCAACGGATTTTTGATTTTACCCCTTGATTTTATTAATTAAAAAATTCTCGTTTCAACAGATTTTATATTTAAATCGCGTTTCAACGGACAATGGATTTTTTGGTAGGATTTTAGTAATAAGTACTAATCGCATTACAATGGATTCACGTGATATACATTTTATAAAAAAAACCCCCACATTACTACTATATTAAGATTAATTTAAAATCCCTACTAAATAATAATATAAACAAATTGAACTAAATAATAATTAATTTTCCATATTTCTAAATAATGATTTTACATGAATAATTAAACACACATTACTAAATAATAATATTATTAATTTTCCATATTTCTAAATAATGATTTTACACAAGTAATTAAACACACATTACTAAATAATAATATTAATCAAATTTCCCATATTTCTAAATAATGATTTTACACAAGTAATTAAACACACACTACTAAATAATAATATTAATCAAATTTTTCATATTTACAAATAATGATTTTACACGAATAATTAAACACATTACTAAATAATAATATTAATCAAATTTCCCATATTTCTAAATAATGATTTTACATGAGTAATTAAACACACTACTAAATAATAATATTAATCAAATTTTCCATATTTACAAATAATGATTTTACACAAATAAGTAAACACAAATAATAATATTAATCAAATTTTCCATATTTCTAAATAATGATTTTACACTAATAATTCTTCTTTAAAAAGTAACCTCATTATTGTTTTAATCAAAGATTCAAGTCTCTTCTAAATGTATAAATAAAGGTGAAATTTTCTTTATTTGAATTTTTTAAAGTTGATAAATTGATAGATAATAAATAAATATCTTCTAATAATTCTACATAACCAACATTTTCTTTGATTTCTTTAAATTAATAAATCTCTAAATTCTACAAAATTAAAATGTCTCAACAACTATCTTCT